CTAATTCCATTAGACTAAGTGTGAAACTTGATTATTTTTGTTTGTTTAAATACATTATGTATAAATGAAGTATACTTTTCTCCATTATCAGATCTTACCAATGGCAAATAGATGGAAATGACTATACAATACATCCCCCAACAGACTGTCCAGAAGTGTTTGTTATTAGACATGGCCCATTCTAAAGCATTTATAAATCCACTTAACAACAGGCCCATTTTATTCTGAACTTAGGTTATTGGACTTTTCAAGGTATACTTTAAATGCTCTTAAAACTCTATGAATTGAGTTTTAAAATAGGCTCAAGAGGAATAGAAACTTGCTTCAGAAACGGAACTCCTAAGTGCTCTAAAGACCCTAGATGCAGACTTATCTGTTGCACTCCATTGCTGCCAGTCTTTCCAACATGCTGTGACCACTCTTGTTAGTCACTGAAGGAATCATTACTGTGTGCAACAGGTCCACTTCTCATCAGAGTACTAGGTGGCACATTCTAAGCAAAATGCACAAATACCACCTTTTCAGGTTTTAAGAAAATGAGTTGCAATAGCCATGGATTTTGTTACTTACAACTACAAACTTACTCTCTTGAGAATAACATTTTTAAATTGCTGCTTTAATGTTTCAAACAATCCCCTTGCATCCTGAGTAGTTCATCTGGTTTTCAGAATTGACTGAGCCTTGTTCTAGTACCACTTGTCCAACTCCACACTCATTGGTGCTTGGATTCTGCAGGACACAGTGAGACCCAGCACCTGCATTGCCATGAGAGGTCCTTGTGTCTATATGCATTGAAGAGCCTGCAATCAGGGGAGTTTGCATCTGGATCATCATAGATGTGTTTACATTACTTGTGGTTTAGATTAGCTAATTGGCATGCCTGTTTCCAACTTACCTTTCAGTAAGTTACATTTCATCAGTAAAATGAAAAGTATAGGAATGCACTTTACCCCCTGTTACTAATACTTTCTTCTATTCGTGGTTACCTGTGACTTCCACATTTGCTGGGCAACAGGGAGTCAAATGATTTAGATTCTAGTCTCTGATATGAGACCATAGATGATGACTAAGAAGTCAGTACCACTTTGAAACTTGGTGCCTAACTTGCTCTTCATTCTGTACCAGGCTCCAGCCTAAGACAGCCTCCTAGAATGTGAGATAAACTCTTAGGTAACCTCCATTTCAAGCTAAAAAAATAAAAAAGTGGTACTGTTGCCTTATAGGAATATGGAGACTTTAGACTTTAGAAAGGATCACATGATCATTGTTCCTGGGAGGGTTTGAGAATGGTTGCTTGCTTAAAATTCAGGCCCCCCCTAGAAGAAGAAAAATACTTGTGGGAAACAGAAAGGACCATATGAGTGAGTACCACATCTGGTCCCGTATCAGCAGAATGGCCTTACGTTGATCTTCTCAGGGTGGTCCTTCTGGAATGCTCTTTTGCTATGACCAGAGACCTTACTCCTTGCAGCATACAATCTCTGAGGATGGGGTTTCAGACTTGCCATGATGTGACCTCAGACTCCCTAGCTCTCACCCCAGGTACCCTAATGAGACTTAAACAATGAGGTTCCAACAGCTTTGAGAGACAGAGATTATAAACTCTGTGTTATGGATTATTTGTGTAACTCTAGAATGGTAAGGAAGTCAGGCCAGGTCATAGGACACTCAGACACAGGACAATGCATTTACAGGACAATGCAGACAAACCCCTCTGTCTAGCCTACCTTGGCCTGTTGCAATCACCACACTTCTCATAAGACACTTTGGCTGTTAGGCATAGTGTGAGGTGACTGTTGCCCTCTGTGCTATGAAATGCTAGAGCAGTCTTGGGAATATAAGATAATTATTTAAGACTGTGAAATCATTGCAATATACTCACAAGCTTCATGCTTTTAAAGATCTAGTTTAGCATTCATTCATTCATTAATGCATGCATTTAATAATCCTTCTTTTTATTCATTCAACAAATATTTAATGATGATTCTAACAAGTACCTTCATGTAGAGATGTAAAGTGAGAATAGAATTGCAATCACTCCCCGTTGTTGTGCTATATCCCCCCAAACTGCAAACTGGATGTAATATAAACCTCACGTATTAAATACATCACAAGTAAGGTCTGGAATCGGATTATACCTGCCATGTCATAGAAACCAGGGTTGGGATTAATTCATTTCCACATTTAAAAAAAATTCGTCTGCCATTGCACTTTTTAAAAGTTCTGAAACATTTTGACATTTAAACAATTACAATAGCACTTTTATAGGGCATCGATTACTCTCTAATAGGCTCATGACAAATAACCACATTATGGCTTCTAATGTAAGGGACAGAGCTGCTAAGTAACCTTATGTTGTTAAAATTCTTGACCCACATAACTATGCATTACCAGTTAAGTTGTAGAGTCTGTGGTTTTGGCATATAATTGTATGGATTAAATAACCTTAATGTGTAATTACATGAAAATAAACCATGTAGCTAAGCTAAATTGCAGTGCAATTGTTATCACCAAGTGTAAGTCGATACCAATTAAACCTTCCTTTAAAACTCCACAAATTAAGATTTAACTACCGAAGAAACTCTAGAATGTAAAGGCACAGTACACCCTGGGTGAAATATCCCCAACTATTTTCAGAGGGTTAATGGCACTTCTGAAATTAAAACCAGCTTTCTCCTTTACCTCTGTATTAGTTATGCCTTATTGAGGAAAGTTTCAAACAGGCACCGATTAACGTCTTAAACACTGTGTACCAAAAACTCGCCGTCTACAATGCTGACGGAGAGAGAGATTGTGAATTTTTGTGCTTATGTCAAGTAAATATTTAATCTTGGGGAGTAGGATTTAGGACAAGGAAAAACATGCTGTTGATTATTATAATTCCTAAACTATGAAATTTTGTGTAACAAAGGTATTTTGTAACACCCAGTCTGATATAATGGTAACAATTAGCCATGGACCTCAGGTACACTAGTCTCGCATCTGCAAAGCCCTGGGTTGGATCACAACAAAGACAGGGAAAGAAGGGAAGGAAGGGATAAAAATGGCTTCTCTCCTTTTCATCCCACACACTTGGACTAAGCCAATCACTAAGGAACTTCTGGACTCCAGTTTTCTCATCAGGAAAAGGAGGAATAATAATCACACAGAGAAAGTAGTTATAAGGCTTGCATAAGGACAAGATGGTGAAAAGGCCTTCAGTGTACTTTCTATGAAATAGTCATGGCTAAACACTCGTCTTTCTCCTTCCTCATTGGGCCTTTTTGTATCTTGTATTGAATACTCCTATGAGTGACTGTGAGCTGGGTGTCCATCTGTATGTCCAGGACAGTCAAATTTATAATTTTAACAAAGGTACTAACGTGTTTTTCAGACATTAAAAATTGCACTACTAATAAAACACTTTAGTAAAGGGTCACTAAACTTTAGAGCTGGTGGCTTTTTTTAGCAGAATATTGTATATTTAAGAAAAATTATCTGTGCAGAGAATGCAAATCTCCCCTTCATAGACTTCAGATGATAACCTACACATTCTTCTCCATGACCATCTCCAGACTCCAGATGTTCCAAGTAGCTCTCCATTTAATTGTGCCTTCTGATGGCACCTAAACAAATACATCAGAACTTGTTCAACATTTAGCAAGTGCAAGTAGAAGATTTCTTTCTGTTAGACAAATAGACGCCATCTGGAAAAAATAACCCCAGGCATTTGGACAGGGAGGCATAAAGCTTATTGGCTGAACACCCAATGAACACAGAACACTACTTTCTTTGGCTCCTCCACTTTGCCTGCTCATTTCAAATCTTACACACTGTAGCAGGCACTGTACAGTTAGACAAGAGAATCTTTGTTACCCAGGCACACAAACATTGAAGGCCACTGGAATTTGAAAGATTGACTTGTAAGAATTATCTGGGCCAAAATGTTTCTTTTCGTATTATGACACCTGTTGAACAAAGTAAGTTCTTTCTGACCCTGTATATTGATGTTAATTGTGAACAATATTTATTTAGCTCTTTCGACCATTTTCAACTTTTGCCATATTCTCATCTTAAACAGGCTTGTGTTCATATACTCTTCCTTTTCCTCTACTATCTCTTCCTATTTTTAAGCTGCTTTGTAAAAGAACAGACTCTGATGTGCTATTTATCTTACTGATTAACTTTTATTTCACAATTATATTATATAATATCAATATTGTTTTTGTTCACCATGGAAAGGACTGAATTTAAATGGTTACAGTGTTATTAGCCTTTAGGGAGAAATCAAATAAATGTGCACGGAAATCATGAGAGAAATCTTCACTTATATTTTGATGATAAAATTTGCATCTAATGGCATATCAAAACTGTACCAAACTTTTAGTGAACACACCCTTAAGCACAGGCTTCACTTATTTCTTAACTAATAACTTTACTTTTAATTATTGGCAGTTGGATTTTTCAAACTGAAAAACAACTGCCCCAGACTTCTGGAATTCATTTTTACTACATCCCATAATCTTAGCAGTAGAGAGTCTAATGAAACATGTTTGATCAAACAATTTTATAAATTGACTTCTTTCCCCACAATTCTCATGAAAAGGGGTATTCAGCTAGATTAATACTCTAGAAAATTTTAACGGGATCAATGAAATCTGTTTGAGTTCAACTTTCTAGGGAATAAAGCCACCTAATAGATGTACATTTTAGGATAGCCTCCAAAGCCTCAGAGAAACACTGTCTCAAAAAACCAAAACCAAAAGAAAAAAATAGATGTACATTTTAGACCAAAGAAGCATGTCTCACAGGCAGGGATGTCTCACAGGCAGAGGGTGTCTCACTGGCATCTTTTTCGCTACATAAGAGAGGTAAATCACCAGGGTGATCCCAATGTTTGAATATCTTGGAGAAATCTGTAATGCTTTTGGTAGGGCCATCCATAAGGCCACTGTGTTCCTGTGCTTGACAATAGTGAATAAGTGGATGCTAATTACCATGTGTCACTCTTGTCTTTTCAGTCCTACCCTGGTCCAAGTCTGGAAAGTGAAGACTTTAACATTCCACCCATCACACCTCCTTCTCTCCCTGACCACTCTCTGGTGCACCTGAATGAGGTGGAGTCTGGGTACCACTCTCTGTGTCACCCCATGAACCACAATGGCCTGCTACCGTTCCATCCACAAAACATGGACCTGCCAGAGATCACCGTGTCCAACATGCTAGGCCAGGATGGCACACTGCTCTCCAACTCCATCTCTGTGGTAAGAATTGGCTTGTCTAATTCGACTTAGCTTGAAAGTCACAGGAAAAGCAAGGGATATTTCCATGCAATTTGTGCTAATGGCCTTCTAAAACCAGGGAGCTGTTTCAGCTACATCAATGATCTCTGTAGATTTTGTAAATTTCCAAAGTCATTTTTTATTTTGCATTTAAATCAGTGAATTACTTGTGTAATCACTCATATTTGTCAAAGTGCTAAATACTGTTGATGAGGCTATTAGGAAAAATGGCTTGCCAAATTTCAGATAAAAGGTCACTATAAACGATATTGCTTCTGGGCTTCTGTCGGGTTCCTAGCAACAAGTAAGATCCCTGCATCCTCTGGGCAGTGCCTGATGTCAGCCTCAATTTTGTTATTTGCTTTCTGAAATTCTACACGTTATTTTTGGAAAGGAGCAAGGAAACAGTTGTTTTGTTTCTGTTTTGGAAGTAGAGTTCTGTTGATTGAAATTATCTCCATTGAGATGTCTCAGTCAGTGGAACATTCTGTTACTTTGAAGTATCTAGTGATGAAAATCTAGAAAGTTCACAAAAAAGCCAAGTTCCCAGGCCCCCCTGACAAAGTCTGGGCATATGTATTTCTAAGGAGCATCCCATAATTGAGAAGCACTGGATTATCAAAAGAAAAAGTATTCATTCTGGTTTTTATGTCATCTACAAGCATCATTTTGGTCTATACTCCAAGAAGTAGAAACAAATTCATGCCCCTTGGCTTTCATTGTTCGACCAGATAACAGTGCAACCATTGTTGCCCTCATGTCACCAAACAGCTCTACCACAGGTTCACAAGGAACAAACTGATAAACTTGTTTCTGAAAGTGTGTTCCATAATACCACCCCCACTGATGTGCTCAGAAATGTCTCTGTGTTGTGTGGCTCCATGGTAATTTTTCTGGTAAGGATGAATATAAAGGGACTGGGATGGTTAAAAGAATAGTAAAAAGAAACCCCAATGTGACTTTTCTGGGAGACAAAACCTAACACCACACAGCACAGAGAACCAAATTCAGCTTCTGTCTTCCTGTCCAAGAAGGGAAAACTCATTTTTAGTATTGTCAGAAGTCAGAAGCAGTACCATCACCAGACTGTCTAGATTATATTCCTCCTAAAAATTGAAGTTGAATACTTACAAATGCATGCAAATATGTGAATCTGAAAAAAGTGTACCAACCTCATCATCTTTTAAAATTTTTATGTAAGTATTTATTTATTCTGCATAATAACACGTTTTACAGCACCAATGTGTGTGAAATGCCTGAGGAGGCCAGAAGAGGGCATCAGATCCCCTGTATCTGGAGTTACAAGAGCATTTTTACTGATTGAGTGAGTGAGTGATTGTTTGATTTTGATTTTGATTTTATGATCTTGACATAGGTCACATGTACCTGGTTGTCACTATCTTAGGTAGTATCAATATAGTGAGTGATCTCATGAGAAGTTTGGAAGGACTTTACTGGGATAGCAGTGAGGACAGAGGGATGGGGTGGGAACTAGTATGCCATTATCTTATCATCCTCGAGTAGATATGGATCTCCAGAGGCACAGTTCCTTATAATTCCCAATTGTAGGTATTTAAAAACACACCAAGAGTCACTTCTTTGACAAAAACTTTGTGTCCAAGGCTATCTCTTCATACATCATCATACTTTCTGGCAAAAGCTAAAACTCTTTCCTAAGAATTTAGCTCCTGTGCATAGGTCCACAACTCATGGAACTGTTCAGTATCACACAGGTGCATATGCGCAGCAATGCTTCATGGAAGACCCCCACCCAAACTGATACAAAGTTCATGCAGCAGCTAGACAATTAATAGAAAAAATGAGTGAAAAAACAGGCACACAATTCAACATCGCACAAGTGAACACATGTTGCAAAGCATCACAGAGACCACCACATGGTCTACAACCTTCATGTGCCAATTAGAAAATTCATTTTAAAATCAAGTGGAGAGGCAGCAGAACTTAGGTGGGTTTTCCATGGTTGGACATATGTTTGCAAATAAGGGCAACTTGGGTTAAGGATGCTAAAAGCTGTTGTAAACATCAGATACTGTGAACTTCACAAACCTGCTCTTGTGTGACTCTTTTGGAGAGGTTAAAATGTGTGTGAGAGAAACTTTTTTAAGAGTTAAAATCATTCAGAGATCTGTC